TACTATCTATAAGTTCGCTCTCTCTCTCTCTCTCTCTCTCTCTCCCCTCTCTCTCCCTCTCCAATTGTAAATTTTAACTGATTTTATCATTAGAAACTTATAATGTAATGTATTTATTAATCATATTATAATTGAAAATTTATTATAAATCAGTATTGTGTTGCTTTTTAGTATTATACATAATTCTATTAAATGTATGCATATAATAACACCAATGATTTAAATAAATTAATATTAATATAAGCTAAGAGGATTAATGAAGCAGTAAAATTAGAGATAATCATCAGGAATGATTGAAATATTACCGAATTAGATATGTAGGTATCTATTTGGCATTTGCAAGATAGATCTATTTGTCATTCGTAGTATTTCGTGAAACACGACTTTACACAATTTCTTGAGCGTGACTGTAATTCTTAGGTTATACATAGCGCAAGCTCTATTAGCTTGCAACACATGCGCGTACGTTGGGTGCATTTGGGCAAAATCCGTTAGTTCAACATTCCGGGTAGTCACGTGGCGCATTTACGGCGTAACTTTCCAGATTAGATCTGGTGCACTACATACGTCTATATCCACATGTGGATTCAAGTCGAGAGCGCGCAGATAGAGGTCGAAGTAAAGTAAAAGGCCGCGAAAGGGTAGCGGTGGGCGCGTAAAGCCGCTTTCGGAGGGAATATTCGTTGGTAAAGTTTGCCGGCGAAATGAAGTTGGTAAGTTTTTAAATTTCGCCGTGCCAACCCCGGAATATAGATCCTTGGGTAATCTTGCGCGAATGTCCTCGCGCCCACAATGCTCCGGACCTTTCGAATTCGCTGCGTTGCTCGAAACTTTTATTCCCACACGTAATAAATCTTCAAATTTATTACATGTAATAAGCACATCAAATTTATTCGAGCGAGCGCGTAAATTTTCGGTCGCGCTCAATTCTCCAGGTAATAATAATATATTCTTTTCTTGAAACAGAAATATCAGATATTCTCGTACAAGACAGTATAAGACATCTTGCAAAATACATATTGCTTGACATATTTCTTAAGTATCGTTTAATATTTTAGGAGATAATTTTAGTTCATTTTTGAGATAATTTTTCGGTCGACATGCTTTTACTTATTATTATTTATGTACGATGCCTAAAAGAGACGTTTTCTCTTAATATTTATTTAATTAGTTATTACGAAAAATATCATGTGCCTCAGTAATCGAATTGGTAAGACACTCGTTACGGAATGTAGAGAGGTTCGAATTCAGGTTGTAGTGATATTTCATGTAATATATTATTTAGTGTTGAACTGGAAATAGTAAGATTCACGCAAAAACATTATTAGGTATCACAATTCACTTTGACGAATATAATGGTCTTCACTTATTTGAGGGCTCGTATTTAAAATATATATTTTTGATAAAAAATAAAACAGTTATTTAATATTTATTATTTTAAATAACTTCATTTGACCTATTTTTTATTGAGCATTTTAAATAAGTTTTCAGAGCTTACTTTATAATTTTGTATTTTAAATAAAAGTCATCAGGTTTTTACCGATTTCTATAAATTTATATTTTAAATAAGTTTCTGGAACTTATTTTATACATTTATTTTAATTAAGTCATATCAATTTGACAGTTTATTTTACCGATTTTATTTATTTGCGTTGATCATTTCTCGGCAATTTTTAATATGCGATTACGTTTCGTACATGATGGACGCTTAATTACTCTTCAGATAAAAAGCCAAATTTAGTTTAGTCGAACGCAGGAAAATAGTGCGCGTTTGACTCTACTTTGTTGGCAATAGTTTTTTTAAAATCAACCGTTGCGCTACCTGTGAGACAAGGGCAACGCGCGCGGCGCGCCGCGTCCGCGTCGGTTGCCGTTACTTACGGATTTTGAACGGTGAGTTACCTCTCAAAATGCTAGAATATCCTTAACATTCGGTGCGATATCGTCGCCTACGGTCAGTGTATTACGCGTGAACGACTTGCGAATGTAAATGTCTTTAAAGAGGCCTACAGGGCAATCTCCTTGAGGGGGGGGGGGGACGCTCTCCGGACTCATTTCGCATTCGGCCCGTCGCTACTGCTCGCACCGGCGCGGCGTGTACGTTTGCGTTCGCGTATTTGTTAATAATTCCCAGAAGATAGTTTGGTGCGGTAACGCGCGTGGACATTCGGACACAGCCCGAGGGGTTGTCTCCGTCGTAGCGACGCAGCATCGCCCGACCTTTCCCTCCTGCATGTCCCCTCCCCACGGACGGAAGGGTTTGCGCTTAGTTGCGGCTTAATGTGCGCTCTCCTCGCAAGGCGCACGTCGTCGCGCTTCGAAGTTCGCTTATGCGATGGTGCGGGTGGTTAGCGAACTTAAAGTCAATCTTGGGTTATGCAAACGCTTATGCTTGGTAAAACGCTTGCTGCGGGCGAGATTCCGGTAACTCGCCGGAGAGTAGGAAGGTGCGAGGAAGATAAAGAGAGAGGAAAGTGTATGTGCAGGTAGAAGAGAGAGGGAGAGAGAAAGGGAGATAGAGCGAGGAAATTGGCTCTGATATAGCGCGTTTTCGAAAGTTAAAGGGCCCCATCTGCCAGCGATTTCGCAGACTGACCGTCCCAACCTAATCTGACCATAGCTCCGGGGTTATTGATGGATTTGCATAGCGAGGGGAGGAAAGAAACATCGAATAGACGGCGTACACGGTGGTCTTAATTGGATCGAATTGCGCTCTGGCTACGGTTCACTTGCTTGTCACGTATTGTGTGCGTGTTACGCCGGCGCATATCATTGTTATAGGGCATAGGCGATCGTTACATGCTCCGTGGTACGTAAGCCACGATTTTTACGAGCGAATCGAATCCGCGTAAAATACACCATGGGGAAAATGTCAGAGTGAGTATAGAGAAATGAAAGCCTGTTTTGATATTTATGACAGTATTTTGGGATATTTTTCATTTTATGTGGATATATTGAAATAAATCTTTTATAACTGTGATTTTTTTTTATAACGCTTTATTATTTTCTCTTTTTTATAATTAAAATTTGTTACATTAATTGAGCATTAATAATCATATAATCTCTTTATTCATTTTAACAGAGTATATAAGAATTTATATTAAATGCTTTTTAGTATCTTTCAAATCAATTTGAATAAGTTAGATTAATATAATAGGGTACAACTGATGTTATCTTTAATGAGCATAAATTATCCGTAATTGCTATAAACTTTTATTTTTAAAATGCATTAATACTGAAAATATTAGAAATCTATCTTTACCTCTATCTATAATCTATTTACTATTTACAGAATACTATCTCTTTTAACATTATTGCAAAACATAATGAAAAATTTTCTAATAATACGTAAGCAAGTTTTTGTACTTGTAGATTGATAATAAATAAAAAGAATTATTTAAAAACGAATTATATAATCGATATAATTTAAATATGAAAAGAATTATATTTAAATATAATGTATATACAATATGTGTACAATTCTTATTACATTTATAATATTATACAATTCTTATTATATTATATTTAAATATAATGATTTCTCTCTCTCTCTCTCTCTCTCTTTCTGTTTCTCTCTCTCCAGCAACTTTGCTCGCGCGCATTCATGTTTTCCCTCAAAATCCATGGATTATTGACTATAGACTCAATTGCACACGAGGCACGCAATAAATGACGCTATAATTTGCGCGATCAATACGTCGAATCGTTCTTTTCCAGACAATTCGTTCCACGTAGGAAATGAGATTCAGTTGAAAAGCGCAGTAACTCGCTCGAAGGGTTTCGGCGCGTAGCAATAATTAAATCGCATTTTACAGCATTTCACTTCTCCGAGCTCTCTTCCAATCTCATTGTTATCGATGTTACATTACATTATGCATATATTGTATACAACTAACTTTATCATAATAAAAGACTTTTATGCTGACAGAACGTCCTAACGAAGCGAATCTCATAAACGCGCGCTAAGGTGTTCTCATTACGTATTCTTATTCCGTTAAGTTGAATAATACGATTGTCAGAGAAAATGCGATTATTACATTCTCTTTACCTTTATTAACGTTGTCGTTTTACAAATTGACATTCGAAAATGTTTTCAAATTATTCCTTATTCGGCGATCTATTCTTATATTTTATGCGCAAATTCGTTATTTTGAATGATTTTACGAATCGCGTGAAAGTTATTTTGCTATCATTTCGTGATAATTTTTTGATTGATGTTTCCTACCAATAAGACACGTTCCAGTAAACTCAGTTTAGATTTAGTTATGCAAGAAAGCTTTACTTATACAAACATATTTGATGCAAATTTAGTAAAAATTTAGTTTTCATCAATTTAGTTTTCAAAAATGATGGACGAGTAAAGTGCGTGAAAACAATTCAAAAGTTAGTATAATTGTGAATTATGATAATTTAAACTAGAAAAATTGTGAGTTGTGAAAACGGAAAGTTTCGAGAGTTAAAATGATTAGGAATTAAGAAAATTGAAAGTTGTGGAAAAGTTGATAGTTAAGACTTCGGATTTTTTGTTTTCTGAAATCGACTCTCGAGTAATTTTGCTTTTTTAAATCCTTCTCTCTCTCTCTTTCTTTTTTTCTCTTTCTCTCTTAAAGTTTCACTCTTTTTCTCAAAGTTTCATCCTTTTAAAGCGATATTATAAGCGTGCTGAATTAAAGATACTATTTTAATTACAATAAATTATATATAAATAGGATAAAAAAAAAAATGTATGATTTTATCATATATTTCTAAATGTGACTCTCTAAATCTACTTAAATTAGAAGAGCAGTATTTACATTTTAAAAAATACAACCACAGTTAGACGGTTTTAATATCTGAAAGAGTAAATATCTGGGTTAAATACAAATTACGTCATACATTGTGTTTAATAATCAAATATAATTATGAGACAATTTCGACTTTCGTTCAATCGAGTAGCGCCAATTTCGTGACGGTTTGTGGTCGATAGACTATCCGACATCCGTTACCATGGGACACGAGTG